TCTCGAGAATGACCGTCATTGGTTCTGGCTTTCATTCATTCAACACACATTGAAAGAAAAGACCCTCAATGAGATGGGTGGACGAAGTGACCACAAGAGGGTAAGCCAGGCAGAGACTGAGGATGGCGCAGGGTGGGGCAAGGCTTCTCCCCGACGTTCACGGTGTTGCTGTGAGTCATAGTCTGCTTGATGGCATCTGACAACTGTGTGCTAATCATCCTTGTGGGCACTGGCCACCCAGACCAACCTTCCTGCCAAACAGAGCTGGCATTCGAGAGGGAAACACGGAGGATAATTAAGTGCAACGTGATGCATGTTAATGAGTCCTTGTATGGGGCAAATGATTCACCGGCTCAGCTGATTAACCCAAAAGGTGGTGGTGGGTAGAGTCCTCAGAAGGCGTGGGGATTTACTTATAAAAATTAGTTCTTGAAAACTTTATGGGGAGAAGAGGAGTTGCTGAGGGTGTGTATGTACAAACACCTCATGGGATTTAGTTTCTTGGATGTGGAGGTTTAGGGTCTTGATTTCATGGACTATTGGAGCTAATTTGGGCACTCTGGTGGCCACGCGGTAAGGAGCTGGGCTGCCAACCCAAAGGCATATAGTTTGAATCCACCAGAGAAAGCTGAGAAATCTTATCCTGTGTGATTCACTGTCACTGAAAACCCACTGGAGGGTTGGCTAGGAGTTGGTTCCAAAGGCATGGAACAACATTCCAGGTGATTGGTGGCCTAATAATGTGTGTTGCTTCTCATCTACTTCCTAATTCGATTGTATAGTGCCTGGGATCTTAAAAGCTTTTAATGGTCATTCTAGGTACAATGGGTACCTAGAATTCACCTAGAACAACAGAAAAAGTCAGCCCAAAGGCTGGAAGAACCGAGTGGAGCCTGACCACCATTACTGAACCATTTTGGTCTAAGAAGCCTGTCAATCCATACAGGAACGCTGGTCCAAAGGGGCTGGGGGTGAGGAATGCAGAACAAAATTTAGAAAAAGAGGAAGAGAAGAAAGAACAAGAGATTAAAGAAGCTCCAGGGAACATAATTCTAACCAGACACACTTAGCGAGCCATGAGCTGGAATCAAGTTAATGACAACCGATTTTTTTTTTTTTTGGTTGTAAATTGAGTGGCAAATCAAGGGAGCTCTGGTGGCCTAGTGGAAGGAAGCTGCACTGCAATCCCAGAAGTACACAGTTCGAATCCACCAGATGCTCTGCTGGAGAAGGCGGAGCAATCTCCTCCTGCACCTGTCAGATCCGATTTGACAGTGGTTGTTGTTATGTGCCGTTGAGTCGTTTGTGACTCCCAGAGACCCTATGCACAACAGCCCTAAACCCTGCTCTATGCTGCGCCAAACGCACTGCCTCTGACACACCCATCCCGATTACCCCAGTCACCGAACCAATCCATCTCATAGAGGGTCTTCCCCTCCTGCGCTGTCCCTCCACCCTCCCAAGCATGATGTCCCTCTCCAAGGACCCGTCCCTCCTGACAACATGTCCAAAGTATGTCAGATGAAGCCCCAGAATCCTTGCCTCCAAGGAGTAGCTTGGTTTAATCCTCTCCAAGATGAATCTGTTTGTTTTCCTGGCAGTCCATGGTACATTCAGTACTCTTCTCCAGCACCACAGCTCAAAGGCATCAACTCTCCTTCTGTCCTCCCTAGTCATTGTCCAACTACTCTCTGATGCATAACAAGTGATTGCCAAGACCATGGCCTGTATCAGGCGCACCTTAGTCTCCAGAGAGACACCGTTGCTTCTGAGTACTTTAGAGAGGTCCCTAACAGCAGACTTTCCCATCGTGATACGCTTTTTGATTTCCTGACTGCTGGTGCCAAGAGTGTTGACCGTGGAGCCGAGCAAACTGAAGCTGTGAACAATCTCAATCTCTTCACCATCCATCCTGATGCTGCCAATTGGTCCAGTGGTGAGAATCTTTGTCTTCTTGACATTGAGCCTCAGTACATACTGAAGGCTGCAGTCCTTGACCCTCCACAGCAAGTGCATGAGGTCCTCCTCAGTTTCAGCAAGCAGGGTTGTATCATCTGCATAATGCAGATTGTTAATAGATCTTCCACCAATCCTGATGGCACAATTCTCCTCATAGAGCCCAGCCTCTCGGATAATCTGCTCTGCATACATGTTGAAAAGGTATGGAGACAGGATGCATCCCGATTTGACGGTACACACAAGAAATAAGAAATTAAAAAGGAAAAAGAGTGGCGAAACATAAGGAAAAAAGTGAGACAGAAATGTGTACACAGTCATGACCAGAGGACTCACCCAGGCCTTGATGTTTGACTATAGACTGGGAGGAGGAGAGAGGAGCCATGCATAATTCTAAGGGAAGAGCATTCCTGCAACAGCAAACAAGTGCAAACGCCCTGAGGTGGAACGTCTATTTCCTATTTCACTAGTGATAGAGTGGTGAATAGGACAGATAACAATCCTTCCTTCAAGGTACTCCTATTTTAAGGAGGGGAGAAGAGGAATCATTAGCCAGGTGAGGGTCTAGAGAGAAAGGGGAGGGGGAGAGTCTCTCTCAGGAGGTAATATTTGCACAAAGGCCTGAAGGATGAAAGGGAGAAAGGGCATGGGAATTTGGGGGAGATTTATTGACTTTTGCCAGGCCTGTGTCTCTTTCTCCTCCCACAAGTCCCTGCAAGGGCTCAGGTTTCCCCAGCAGAGGCCATCAGAGCTTCTGGGGGAAGGGAATTCCAGTCGCTAGTTCCTGGCTTTGGTCGTCTGTCCTTCTCTCTCTGGTTGTACTTGTTCATGCTGGCATTTCTGGGTGGGGCTTCATTTTAGGGGGCCCCCACCCCCATCAAAGCTCTAACCAGGCTTCAAAGACACCGCTGGGCCCTGAGCCTCCAGGCAAGAGAGGAGGAGTCATCCAGAGCAGAGCTAGGGACCCACCCCCCAGCTGCAGGCCATCTGGGCTGCTTCTCCCAGTTCTGGGTGGGAGAGGCAGTGCCCTCCCAGGTCCATCCATGTGAGGAAGGGGCTGAAAGGCCACTCTCTAGCTCAGTGGTGACTCTGCAGGGATGCGGAGTCTGCCTGCCTGGATTCAAATTTGGCCAAGTGTTGTTACCCCCACTGGTTGTGGGACTCTGAGCTGCTGAAGTTCTATGAAGCTGCGTCTATAAAAGAAGCTTGTGAGACTCACTCCCACCCCCTTTTTTACTTCCTGTAAAGCACTGGATCAAAGCAGGACATAGCTTTGGGGGGGGGGGAATGAGTCTGCAGGGGTGTCTGGGTCTGTCTTCCCCTCTGAGACCATCTCTCCAGCGCCCCCCACCAAGGAAAAGGAGGAATAGGAACCTGGGATGGAGCAGCCTCACCACCTACTGTAACTAGATCCCTTGGAAGGGAAGCAGAGCAGAGCCAGGCCAAATCAATCACCAGCAACATTTCAGGGAGAAGCCAGCCGACTGGGATCCAGGAGCCACTGCAAATCCTGGCTTTGCAGGGTTGGTGCTTGGGACACAGAACGGAAAAGACAAGAGGTGGGCTGCCAGCAGCCACACACACACACACACACACACACACATCATCCAATCCCTTCCCCAGTCCCCTGCCCGAGGGGCACTAACTGGGAAATCGCCACTTTAAACCTAAAATGACACCACTACAACCAGAAAGAAATTGAACCGTTTATTGGCCCAGATTTGGGTCGTCTTCAACATAGGGGGGAAGGGGGTGTTTGGCATCTGTGGAGCTATAGGAGGGGTTACAAGCCCCCAGCTAGCTCCTTGTTCCCCCCAAGACTACCCCCTTTAAACCTCTGCATTATTTATGAGTTGGAGGTATGAGGTCTCCTACCCCGAGGTGAGCTGCACCCCAGCTCTTAAGTGGGGAGAAGAGCCAGCAATCACTAAGGAGTGTTCCGGGGGACCAGACACCCCCCCACCTTTGGCAGCTTCAATACAAACAAGGAGACACACAACATTCATTCTGGGGTGGGGGGGTGGGAAAGGAGACCTGGAGGGGAGCCGGGCCCCAGACACCACACACATGCACACACACACACAGACACTTAAATAAACACTTGTACCGCAACGCCCCTTCTTTCCATCAGCAATGGAGACAACATCTTTCTGGAGCAATTTAGGAAGAGCGTCCCAACCCCAAGCTCCGTTCAATACAACTTGAAGGGAGGTTCAGAGGCCACAGGTTTCAGGCGGCTATGTCTTAGCCACGGTGCACTGGCTGGGCCCGAGATGGGGTTTTATTGGAAGGGGTTTCCTGTGCAAACATCTCTCTCCAGTTCCACGCTGTCCCCATCCACAGGCCCAAAGCCCTCTCCCCTCAGCTCCCTAGTTTTGCTCTAGCCACTGGTGATTCCTTTGGAACCCCCTTAGTACAAATGGCCAATGAGGTCTAAGGATGTGGCTGAGCCACACCCCCCCCATAACCCCTGTGGTTTCCTGGCATCTTGAGGAATGACAGGAAAGGGAAGAAGGAACTGGAGAGGCAGCTGATGAAATTTGGGGAAGCTGTCGATTTGGTGCCAGGCTCTGTAAATGAGGCGACGACCCTGGAGAGGTGGTTTCCAGCCCCTGGGGACAGAGGGGCCAAGGCAGCAGGCCCAGGGTCGCCGGGAGAAGGTGGCAGGAAGGGAAATTCAGAGTGGAATCCGGAGCAGGCCAGAGTCAGAAGATGGTCAACATGTCGGGATCTTCTGTACGGGTTAATCACCCTTGCCCCGACTCTCCTTGAGGGCCTGTCTGCAGTCACCCCGGCCCTTCCTGAGGCTCCCAGGACACCGCAGGATCCAATTCTAAAGGGTCCCACTGGCCACTGGTGCGGGCCTCCCTGTGGCAGCTAGCTCTGCCATCCAACAGATGTTTGCCTAGGCCAAACCAGCTGTGCAATGTCCCCAATACCGCCCAGGTCCAAGGAGTGGGGCAACCGACCAGGCAGCCCTTCTTATCTGTCCGAGGCCATCTAGTGCCTCTGCACTCTGGCCTGGGTGGTGGCCCATCGATCCCTCAGACCACCGTGCTGCCTTCCAAAAAAGTGGGCAATGAGGCCATGCGGGTGCCCTTCTCCACGGAGCTGGAGCTGCGCAGGGGCAAGAGACGAAATCCCTTCATCCCTTCCTGATGTCTCTGCACCCTCGCCCCCTCCCGCCAGCACTTGAGCGGCCGTAGCACCTCCTGCCGCAAGTCCCGGCTGCGCCACGTATAGATGACAGGATTGAGCAGCGAGTTGAGGGTGGCGAAGGCGAAGAAGTAGTGGGCTTTGTAGAGGACAGGACAGGAGCGGACAGTGCAGGCATAGTCCAGGAGGAGGATGATAAAGGCAGGAAGCCAGCAGACGATGAAGACGCCCAGCACGATGGTGACCGTCTTGAGCAGGGGCAGCGTCTGCAGGGCAGCCATGTCAGTGCGGCTCGAGCGGACCACGCAGTAGATGCGGATGTACAGGACCACGATGGCCAACAGGATGACGGAAAAGATGGTGACCACACAGAGCACGTAGTGCTTGGTGTAGAGCGGCAGGACGGTGGAGCAGGCTTCCAGGTGGCCCAGGCAGTTCCAGCCGAGGATGGGCAGGCCGCCCAGGGCCAGCGAGATGAGCCAGGAGGCCGCGATGAGCAGGAGCATGCGGCAGCTCTTGTCGCTGCCGTACAGCTTGACCTTGGCAATGGCCACGTGCCGCTCGATGGCGATGGCCAGGAGGCTGAAGACGGAGGCGGAGAGCGTGATGAAGGCCGAGCCCTCACGGGCGAACCACTGCACAGGCGTCAGCCCCAGCGTGACCGGGCCGGACAGCAAGGTGTTGGCGATGAAGGCCACACCTGCCAGGAGGTCGGAGGCGGCCAGGTTACCCAGGAACAGGTACATGGCTGAGTGGAACTTGCTGTTACGAAACACTGCAAAGAGCACCAGCAGGTTCTCCACCACGATGGCGCAGCAGAAGATGATGATGACGGTGGAGGCCACCTGGCGGGATGAGATCTCCCGCGTGTCCAGCGTCTCCTTTGTATAATTGTAGTGCTCCAGGACCTTGCTGGGGCTTAGGTACTCCGAGTAGATACTGGGCATGGTGGGGCTCAGTGGCCGGCTAGGGCCATGGGGCTGTCAGAGCTGCAGGGAGAGAGACAGAGGGAGACAGGTCAGAGCAAGCATGTGGCCTGAGCTTTGATCTCAGGCGCCTGCGGTTTGTCTCAGCCCCATCCCACCTTGCTGAGAGGTCTCATGCTGTCAGAACAAGCATTCTGCCCACTTTACAGATGGAAACCCAAGGGGGGGTGGGGGAAAGCCACTGCCGTCGAGTCAGTTCTGATTCATCTAGTGACCTTCCATCAGACCCCTGAAGCTATAAATCTTCCCGAAAGGAGATTATTCCATCTTTCTCCCCACTGATGCATTTCAACTGCTAACCTTTCCAGCAACATGCAAAGCTAAGATCCATTAATCTGTTGCTAAGCCTCCAGGGTTTCTTGACGGTAACCCAGAGAGGTCAATTCACTTTCCCGGAGACTCAAAGCAAACAAGTGGACCAGCCAGAGTGACTGGTTCCTGGCAGCCAGTCATAACCCCATAACCCGAGGCTATACCGTCTTTCAAAGGAAAAGAAACATAACCCCTTCGAGAAGCACAAGCTCCTCTCAGTTGGCATCAAGGACCGAATGTGGACTTCCGGAAGTCGGGCCTAGCGACCTGTAGAAGCAGGGCTGGGCAGTGCCAGGAGGGCTTGTCACCTTCACTCACAGAAGCCCTGAGCTTCAAGTGACCCGCTGACCTGGCCCACCACAGATGCTGACTGATAACGCAGGGACCTGCTCATTAACACCCACTGCAAAGGATTTCAGGCGGGGCCTAAGCCTGGAGGCCACGGCTGCTCCTAAACGCAGGTACTGAGGAGACACTGGGGCGGCCCTGGGGTCATGCCATCTTAAAGGGACTAGATCTTGGAGGCAATCCAGGGTTCAGCCCCACTCCACTTATGACATAGTGTGGGGCACTGTGCAAGGCAGCTTCTTGGCCTCAATGTCCTCATCTGTGTAATGGGGAGAAGAAAGCCCGTTTTATTTCAATTCATTACAACCCTCCTCAGTTGGGTCCCAGGCTGCAAATCTATATAGGACGAGACTGTCCATCTTTCCCTAAAGGGCAGACTGTGGATTTGAACTACCAATCTTACTGTTAGTAGCCCAACCCCTTAACACACTAAGCTAGAGTTAAACAAAACTTTCTTAACTGGGAATCGATTTACAATTGACCCTCAAACAGGTTTTCAGAGGCTGTAAATTGCACCGGAGCCGATTATCCAGCTTTCTCCATCCAGAGGAGCCACTGCTGGATTTGAACCTCCGGGTTAGCAGTGCAACTTCCCATGGCCTAGGCCACCAGACGCCCCGCCCTTATCTAAGTCACATTTGTATTAACAGGGCCCTGGTGGTATGTTGTGGTTTAGGTACTGACTCTAAGAGCAGAAGACTGATAGATGTTAGCCTTGCCTTCTCCTGCCCTGTCCTGATGCTTTCTGACACGCTTGAACCTATTGTTACACTCACCGCATCAAGCCATCTTGTTGAGGGTCATGTTGTTGTCATTATGTACTGTCAAGTCGGAATCAACTCACAGCTGGTCCTCCAGCCAGTTTTCAGAGGCAGTAAATGGCACAGGAGGAGATTGCCCATCTTTCTCTGGTGGATTCAAACCACACGCCTTTTGAGTTGGGAGCCCAACTCCTTACCAATGAAGCCACCAGGGTGGTTAAAAAATTCAGCTGGTAATCGAAAGGCCAGTGGCCTGAACTCAAGAAAGGGAAAAAAAGATAGGCTGAGTCTATCAAGATTTACAGCCTCGGAAACGCTGTAGGCGGTTGGACTCTGTCCCACAGGGTGGCTAAGAGTCCTGAAATCAACGCAAGGGCGGTGGGGTTTTGTGTTATTTGTTAAAACTCCCTCATCCCCCCCACCCCCTTACTCAGCTCAGGATGGAATGCCCCCACCTAATGTCTGGGAAGGTGTCACAGGACCAAGATTCCCATCAGTCTGTTCTCACCAGCACCATCCAGCTCTGCCCTGGGACACAGGGTCCCAAGGGAGTGGGCAGGGCGCTGGCATCCCCCTCCTCAGCCAGGATGAAATCCAGATGTGAGGCCCCAGGAACAAACGGGGTGGAGTCCTCACTCCCCCCCACATCCGGTACAAGGAAGGCTGGAGGTGGGTGGGGGTGATGGGACGGAGCAGCCATGGGAGGGAAACCTGTCGTTTGGGAGGTCCTGGCTGGGAAGAAGGGGCAGCTGCGCTGAAGTCATGTGACTGGTGAGGGGGCGCGGGGTGTGGGGGGGTAGGGATTTGTTTCTATGAAAGCCTGAGTCACCACACCCCCCCCCCAAGGAAAGCTGAGCCATGCGAGGAGCAGAGCCAGAGGCTTGCGTGGGCAGAAGACAAGTAAAAGATACCATGCAGAGGGTGGGGGACTCGGAGGGGCCAGTGCAGGGTCTGTCTTTCAAAGGGAAGAAGGGGGGGATGCTGAGAAGACACGGGAGAGGGCCGGGGAAGAGCCCCTTCCAGGTCCCTGGAAACCCGCCTGGCAAGGACCACGGGCACGCCCGGGGCACCTTCCAGAAAAGGCTAGTTAGGCAGGTTCCTAGGGAGCCTGGCCTTGATGGGGGTCTTCCGGGGTCGCACAGTCATCTCAGCCCCTGGCGTCCCCTTGAAGAAGTGCCCTGGGCCCCAGCCGGACGGAGACAGCTGCTTCCCTCGGTGGAAGGACATTCGTCCTAGTTTCGGAACAGAGAAGGGTTTGTGCACGTCCCCGGGGACAGCTGCCCCTCCCAGATCGCCACACAGAGGCTCCTTGTTTTCCCGCCGGACGGGGCCCCGGGCACCCTGATGCACTCTGCCCGCCGCAGCCGGGTCCGGAGCTGGCTTGGCCCGGGGGCCGCCGTCGTAGGTGGACCCGCCGTCGGGCCGGAAGCAGGCCAAACCCTGATTCGCTCATTTTCAATCCCCGGGACCCTGAGCGAGACGCCTATTGGTCTACATGTGGCAGCGCGGCGTGTGATTGGCCAGAGGGGGGCGCTGTACCGCTCGCCGTGCAGGTCCGGCTGGAGCTCAGATTTTCCGAGGGCTGAGTTAGAGCGCTGTCCCCGCGAGACATACCAGCGGCGGCCTGACCGCTCGGTCACCCCGGCCAGCCGTCCCCGGGCTGCCCCGGTCTGCTCGCCCCCTCCTGGGCTTCATAATTGAGACTTAACCACCGGCCTGGGAACCACACTGGTTGGCGGGAGCCGTCCAGGGCGTTTCCTTCTCCTACCCCAGGGCTCACGTGGGGACACCGCCACTGCTCTGCAGTGCTGCAGCCAAAAAGAAAAATAAAAAGATTTACAGCCGATTTCAAGAGAAATAAGAAATGGGCTCAGCCCTTGCATGCACCCTCAGGGACAGACCGGAAAAAAGTATGTGGTCCTCGGGGGCACAAGAGGTCCCACTGAGCAGTCCCCTGAGGCTGCAAGGGGAAAAAGCAGCTGTCTCGGTGCGACCAGGGGAAACTGAGGTCCCCACTGTCTCATTCTCCCCATGGGCTAGAGGAGAACACGAGGTGGGAACTCAAGGCAGTTCCCAGAAAGAGGAAGCAGGCTGAGGCTGGTGCTGCGAGCTGACAAACAGATGACAGAGGCCTGCTTTTTCCCTGGCCTCTCCCTGGGCCCAGCCTCCCAGGCCTGCTCTGCGCAGGGCTTGTCTCTGGTTCACTTTCTCCTGCGGCCCTCTCGGCTCAACAACAGATCTGGCCTGAAATGGAGAGGGAAGGAAGGTTTGGAGAGAAGGGAGAAAACAGATTGAGCCTGGATTACTTGACCAGAGATCAGGCCAGGGAATGGTGGGAAGGAGGCACAGGGGCTTTCATCCCCTTTGCCTTTCTAGTTCCTGAGAGGCAGACTTGTGGGTGCCTGGTCAAGCAAAAATCCCATGCCCTCAGCCCTAGAAAGCCCCCCACCGCGTTTCTTTTTGTTGGCCTCCAGCTGTCAGTCCCCTCTAACAGACCGTTCTCCATGCAGCAGCCAGAAAGAGCTGTTTAAGTTGTCTCACATCTTTTGGGCATGCTGTCAGGAGGGCATGTTGTCCCTGGACAGGGACATCATGATTGCCACAATGGAGTGGAAAGACCTTCAGTGATACGGACTGGTGCAGTGACTGTAACAATGGCCTTGAGCATGGCAGAGACCCAGGGGATGGGCTTGGGATCCGGCAGATTCATTACAGAATAGGGTCGCTATGAGTATTCAAGAGCCGACTGCAGGTACCAAGCATCTGGTCACCTGCAGCTCTGAATTCTTCCTGGGCTCAACCCCAGCCCTGAATAGGTGGCCCTGGCACACATAGCCTCCTCCTGCTGTCCCCAGCACCGGAGCCAGTACTCAGTCTTCTACTTGCCCAGGGAGCTAAGGCTCAAAGACGAACTCTGGGCCAAGTGTGAAAGGGGGCGCCACTGAGCAGTTTTCTATATATGATCCCCTTTTCGACGGCCAGCTGCTAGGGATCACTCAGCAAGTTGAAAGCAATACTTAGGGATTTGGGAGCCTGCAGGGTCAAGGCCGACTGTGCAATCTTGCTCTGCCGAGTGTAGAGAAAGAAGAATGTGGGGGGAAAAAACGACTTTGGGCAAATCCAAGACCCTTTCTCATCAATGAAAGAAAGCAAGGGAGATGCAGCTGAATTTTCAGAACATATAAATGAGACTGACTTGTATTTCTGACTGAATATGATGATTGCTGTTGTTAGGTGCCGTCGAGGCGAGTAGGACCCATCGCGACCGTATGAACAACAGCTCTGAACCCTATTCTATCCGATTCCATCCTCACACTTTCTGACTTTCACGGTCCATGATGTCCCTCTCCAAGGCACAGCCTTTCCTAGAAATATGCCCAAAGTATGTGAGACGACGTTTCTCGAATATGATGGTTATTGTTGTTGTTGTTGTTATGTGCCGTCGAGTCGCTAGCGATTCATAGCGACCCTATGTACAACAGCCCTAAACTCTGCTCTGTCCTGTGCCAATCGCACTGTCTCTGACACTCCCATCCCAAT